ATCAAACAAACAAACAAACAAACAAACAAACAAACAAACAAACAAACAAACAAACAAACAAACAAACAAACAAACAAACAAACAAACAAACAAACAAACATACATACATGCACAGCACACATACATACAAGCAAACATACATACATACATACATGCACACATAAATACAAGCAAGCAAACATACATACATACATACATACATACATACATACATACATACATACATACATACATACATACATACATATGCACACATACATACAAGCAACCATACATACAAACATACATACATACATACATACAAACAAACAAAACAAACAAACAAACATACATACATACATTTTTAATAAAGACGCAAAAAATCATACAAATAGCTTTATTTAATGATATATATAAAATCATTAATCTATCAATATTGTATCTAAGCTACTATTTTGAGTAAAATCAGAATTTTGTGGTACTGCTACTTTGTATTTTTAGTTGAAGTTGTAGTAGTTGTAGCAGCAGCAAAAACAGTTGTAGTAGCAGCAACAGAAGTAGTAGTAGTGGCAGCAGCTGTATTAAAATCATAAAAAATAGTAGTAGTCGTTATAGTGCCATTAATATTAGTATCTCTACTATTATTACTACTACCACTACTACTATTACTACCATTATTACTACCACTACTACTACCACTACTACTACTACTACTACTACTACTACTACTACTACTACTACTACTACTACTACTACTACTACTACTACTACTACTACTACTACTACTACTACTACTACTACTACTACTGATGATGATGATGATGATGATAATAATAATAATAATAAAATAATAATAATAATAATGATAATAACAATAATAATAATAATAATAATAACACCCAACAGGCCGTAAGGATGATCTGATCATCAACATTTCAACAGTGCTGGTTGGTATGTTTGTATACTTGTTTGTACGTATTTGTATGTCCGTATGTTTGTTTGTTTGTATGTATGTATGTATGCATGCTTGTATGTTTGTTTATTTGTTGATATGTATGTTTGTTTCTATTATATATTTCTATTTGTGTTATAATTCTATTATGGTCATCCTGCTTTCTTTTAATTTTTAATTTTGAGAAGCAAATAAAATTTCGTTTCGTTTCGTTTGTTTATATGTATGGATGCATGCCTGCTTGTAGGTATGTATGTATGTTTGTTTGTTGGTATGTGTGTTTGTTTGTTTGTATGTATGGATGTATATTTTTCTATATGAATTTGCATATGTATCTATCAGTACCTATGTTTTTACATAATATGGTCACGTATGTATTTGTATACATATTTGTATACATTGCATAATTTTGTATTGTATATTGTTTGTATATGATTGTATCATATGGATATGCAAGTTTTGTATGCGTTTGTATATTATCCTAGCGATGCATATTTGTTTTTTTATTATTCTGGAAGAATAAATTTCAACACATTTGAAGAGGAAGATTATTTTTGCCTGTGCTTATGTGCGTGTGCTTGTATGTGCTTGAATATATGTTTGTATATGTAAGTGCTTGGATGTGTGTGCGTGCGTGTGTGTGTGTGTGGGTGTAATCTTAATTGACTAATCATCAACTTATCATTCATCGCCGTATCTTTCGGCGATGAATGATAAGTATTCATCATCATCGTCGTCGTCGTCATCATCATCAGGATCCACCATTCATGTCTTTGAAGAGAAACAAAGCCTTCCTGGACCCAACCAACCAGTACGAGGGCTACCTCTACGACATCCTCAACAAAATTTTCACCAATCTCGCAATCAAGTACAACATCCGGCTAACCAGTGACGTCACAAACTATAATAGGAATGTGCTAGGACCCAGTGAGGTGCTGGGCACTAGGGATGTGCTAGAAAACCGATTTAAACCTGGTAGTAGTGGTGGTAGTAGTAGTAGTAATTATAGTAGTAGTAGTAGTAGTAGTAGTAGTAATGGTAGTAGTAGTAGTATTAGTAGTAATGGTAGTAGTAGTACTAATACTACACAAGATGACCACGAATACGGAGTAATTGGTGACGTGATTAAAGGGGTTAGTGATCGTTTCAGTAGTTTTCCTAAAGTATCATTACTAATTTATTATTATTCGTAATATTATCCATTACTAATTTTTGAATTTATTAATAAATTATGTTAATTAGTTAGCAGATGTAGGAGCCAGCGTTAGCATAGTGCCAAATCCAGCCCTCAATAAGCTAGTGGACTATAGCGAGCCCGTTCTATCACTGAGGTCTTCCATTATTTGGCAGCAGGAAGATCGTCATCAAGATCCTCTCCAACATCAGGATCGTTATCAGTATCGTTATCCGGATCGTTACCAGGATCTTGATAACCATTTTCACCACCATCATCATCATCATCGTACTCATCGTCGTCATCATCGTCAACATGAAATATACAAACATCATCATCAACATGATCAACAACAACAACATCAACAACAACAACAACAGTTAGGACAACAACAGCAACACAGACAACATCATAAACAACGACACCGACCTAAATACAAACATTATATTGTTCCTAAACGAAAACAAGCACAACAACAAAAACATCAACAACAACAACATAAACATAGCCAACAACAAAACTCCCTAATCAAACAACAACAGCAACACAAACACAAAAAACAACATCAACAACAACAACAAAAACAAACACAGCAACAACAAACAAACAAACATACAAAATCGAAAGATAGAGAACGTAGAATCGATTCAAAATTATCGATAAAAAACACAGCACACCCCTCAAGGATAACAGACGACAAGCATTACGACAACAAACTCGGAACCGGTATTCGAAAGACTACTACAACTCCCACAACAACTACTGCTGCTGCTACTACTCTTACTACTACTGCCACTACTATAACTACTGCTACTACAACAACTGCAACTACTTCTACTACTAATAATAATAAGGGTAAAAAAATTTCACAAAAATCACAACAATTTCATCAGCAAGAACATCGTTATCCTCAACAAAAACATAAAAATACTCAAAAAAGATCGTCATCATTATTAAAACCATTATTATCATCATCATCGCCACCCAAATCGTCATCATCATCATCATCTAAATTGTCATCGTCGTCGTCATCATCATTGCTATCACATGATCGATTCAACGACATAGCAACGACACTGGAACGCCTTCTACACGGCAACTACACAATTGGATTGGTAAGAAATAGCGCCCAATTTTTACAATTACGTCATCTAGTTAATGACGTCAGCCTCAATAACAACAACAACAAAAATGACATCATCAACAACAACAAAAACAAAGAAACAACACACAATAAATATACTGCTGAAAATGATAGTTTCTACAACTATTTTAACATTAGTGGAGTTGAAAATAATTCAAGACATCATCAACAACAACAACAACAATCAAATCAACGACAACATCATCAACAACAACCACATCAGCGACGACAACAACAACATCAACTTCAACATCGTCATCATTATTCAAATCAACAAAATTCATATAAGTTCGGAAAACACCTAAACCAACTGCAACCAACAATGCAAACATCAAAATCTACTAAGCTAAAGCAACTAAAACAACAGCAACATCAGAAACAGCAACAAAAAATTTTACCCAGATTAGCCGAGCTGCTGCAGCAGCTGAAGATCATAGCCGTTGATAGCTTAGTCGAAGGCCTGGATCGGCTAAGGCGGGAAAGACTCGCCCTAATACTCGATTCTCCGATAGCCGAATATCACGCTGGCCGGTATCCATGTAACATCTTCCTCAGCGAACCGTTTCTAGCCGAGACAAATTACTTTTTTATCCTCAGAAAAACCGATTCAGATACCGATGATGATAATAATAATAATAATAATAATAACAATAATAATAATATGGCTAATAATGAGAACATTGACAAATATAATAACGATGATGATGATGATGATGACGGCGTTAAATTTGATGACGACGACAATGATGGTGATGGTGGTTATATCGACGAAGATGGTTATATCGACGATGACGTCATAAACGATGATGATGAAGACGATTGCGTCATTAGGAATGCTTATAATGAATGTGTTGTGAAGCAAATTAACAACAACAACAAAAATGACATTAGCAACAAAAATAATAATTCTGCTACTACGAACACTACTACTTCTACCACTGCTATTACTACTACTACTACTACTACTGCTACTACTACTACTATCACAAAAAAATATTTTCAGAGCCGATCAAAAAAGTCTATCGACAACAAAATTAAAAAAAATAAAAACAAACAAACCAATAAAAACACCAATAACAACAAAAACATAGTCAGTGAAGCCAACAAAGACATAACAAACTTTCAGACTTTCAAGTCAAAATTCAATTCGGAGATCAGAAAGCTTAAACAAAATGACGTCATCCAATCAATTTATCTCTACTGGTGGAAACCCGAGTGCTCTTTCAACCAGCCAACCAATAAAATTTCGTCAAAGAAGAGGGGTGGGAGCAAATACCCCGTCACTCCATCGTCGCAGCCAATCATGTTTCAGCCTGATAGTAAACGTTATCAAAACTTTGATGACGTAAATCTCGCTTGTAAAAATGCTGATTGTGAAATTTATTGTCTTTGGTTTTGCATTACAATCTTTATATTTTTTAGGATGATTTTTACATTAGCATAATTCATTAATTAAGTTGTTTATTAATTGAATAATTAATCAGTCAATGACAGTTCAAGTCGCCATTTTTTAATTTTCTTGTGAACATTTTGTAGCTTTCTGCCTATCTGGAAAGCTTTTAAAATGAAATTAATAAAAAATTGTCAAATTTATCATTAAAAACAATTATAAAAAATGAATTCGCTTAAAAGTTTTAAATAGATATATTAGAAACAACAAAATAAACATTTTAAATTTAGAGGAAAAAACTTTTTAAAATCCCAAAATAAACCAAATCGAACTTGAAAATATCCATTATCACCAGGGTTCAACACCACCATACCTTCACCGTCTGCATATAAAAAACAGTTAACTCCATAACACCCAATGGCCACTCTGACGCAATTTCTCGTCAGATGGCAGACGAATACACATTTGACGTCATCATGGACGCATTAATTATCTGGGGGTCCATTGGCTAAGTTAACTGACGTTTTGTCGTAAATTTCAACGTCTCAACAACAAACACTACAGTTCATGTGAAGCACAACAACACGTGAATCAACGCATCACAAACACGGCCCGCAATTGGCGGGGGATCTCCCTGCAGTCGAACAAGGTAACTGCAATAGCAGTGACAGACACTCCGCCACTACACCATAGCGCCGCCCATCTTAGTTTAAAATCCACGTAATAATATCAACTACTATTCAGTTGAGTACAGATTTATCAAAGAAGAACCAAATTGAAATTTTTTATTATTAAAAATTCTAAAAAAGTTAACATCTCGTAAAGATTTTATTAAAAAAATCTTTAAACATAACAAAAATGCCAAATTTTACCTGGTAATAAAGGCTGAATTCGACCGAAATTTTGTCACTGCCATCTTTAATTAGAAAACAATATGATCCGTATTTTCCAATTCCGGATTTGACGCACCCATCCGTTAGATGGCACAAGTAGGCACACTTAACAGACGGTGGAACGCATGCGAGCAACTGGGCCAAATCTACGTTAACTGACGTCATTTTCCTAATTTTAGCGTCCATACCGAAGACTAGAATCTGAAGCCCCAAGGAGGAATTATAGTAGTAAACACCGATCGGTGTGCGACTCGTAAAAGTTGATGATGATGCCGACGATGGTGAACACAACAACGATAACGCTGATGACGACGATGCTGATGACAAGCCTTGCAGGTAAACTGCGCTAAGTAAAATGATGATTTGTAGCGATGGTGTGGTGGTGAGAAAAACCGGACTATACTCTCCATTTTATGCCTAAATAGATAGATCGAATCATACATGAGGTTGAAAAAAATTAACAAAAAATTTGTGGAAATTTTTGTTCAATTGAGTTTTAATAAAATGAAAAAACTCATTTTAAGCTAACTTGCAGGCGTTGGTGTTAAGGAAGCAATCCGCAAAATGAAATATTTTGTGTAAATTTATAACGCCAACTTTGGATTAATTACACGGTCCCAAGAAAGTGAAAATGTCTTTGTCAATGTCTCTTAACTTACCTGATTTAAATTCCTCTCTATTCATTCCTTCTTTCCTTCTATCCTCCATTCATTTGTTCGTGCAGTCGTTCTTTCGTACATTCACTCACTCACTCACTCACTCATTCATTGTTTTATCGTTCTATAATTATTTCCTATCTCTAATTTTACACACACACACACATATATATATATATAGAGAGAGAGAGAGAGAGAGAGAAAGAGAGAGAGAGAGACAATGCAGCAAACAAACGAAAATTAAATTGTAATTAGACATTAAGCCATTTCAGTACATTAGTAGTTTTTTTTTTATGTGTGTGTGTTTTTTGGTGTGTATGTGTGTGTGTGGTGCGTACTAATACTACTACTATTACTACTATTTATTTGTTGTTAATACTCGTATTACTGGTGTTATTAATGTAATTATTTATTTTTCTTCTCCTGCGCTTCATCCTCTCCGATGGCTAGTTGGTTTTCTGTTTGCAAATAAATTTGAAAGCTGAGTTATTTAAAATATTAGGCATTCAAATATTTTCTATCTTTAATCATGATTTGCAAAGGTGAAAAATATACAACCTCACATGTTTTCGTATAATTAATATTTATATTAAAAAAATCAATCAATGAATCAATCAATGAATTAGTTTATAAAGCGCTATTTTCACGATGTTTCAACAGCTCCTCAATGAATTATGTAAAAAGGTGGAGAAGTAGTCATAGAGAAGGAGGTAGAGAGTTCGAGAGTAAAAGGACCAGATGAAGCAAATGCAGATTTAGCAGAAGAGTGTTTAACACGAGTTAAGAAGATGTGAGAACAAGAAGACAATCGTAAACCGTGGCGTTTAGGTTCAATTAATCTACCTGATAAGTACTTAGGAAATAATTTAGATTGATACTTAAACATTAATGAGCAAGTTTTAAAATTATTCTATATTTTACAGGTAGCCAGTGCAAGAGGACAAGATATGGAGATATATGAAAAAAGATAGGGGCACGAGCAACTAGACAAGCAGCAGAGTTAAAAGCTTTACTTAAAGGATAGAGTTTAGAGTCAGGAAGACCATAGTAGAGCGAGTTAAAATAACCAATCAAACCTATGTCGCTATAAAGCAAGAGAACCAAAGTTAAGAGAAATGGAAAATAAGTAAAAGAAAAGGTAACAAGTATAAGGAAAATATAAAAAATAATAAAGATACTAATAATAAGAAAAATACTAATAATAAGAAAAATACTAATAAAATAAGTAATAGAAACTCAAAAATGAAATAGATACTTTAAATAATAGCCCAGCATTACCGTTATTACGTCATCTGTTCTTTAATTATCGTCGTCTGCTTTTAATTTGAGAACAACGAACCAACAAAATAATTTTTTCATTCGTTCTGTTGCATCTTTTAGTGCATTAATTTTTTTTTAAATTCATGTTTTATTTTTGCCCAAGACAAATATAAACGTCAATATCTAGCTGCATATGTTAATGTTGGATGTTCATGCAAGTCAAAGATTTTTTCGAAGTTCACGGAGATATTCTATTTAGTTAATTTAAAAATAATGCTACATGGTAGTGTTTTATTGCTATAATTTTCCGTCTTTTTCTTTCGTCTTCGTCGACTCCATTTGAGACCGTCAGCGTTGGAGCTGGAAAATTAAAAGATCATTTTGAGGATTTAAATTTGAGAAATATCATTTTATAAGTTTAGAAAAATAGATTTTGAAGTATAAAATTTTACTCAATTAGTTAAAAATTGAAATAAAGTCATGCATTATCATGAGCCCAATGGCAAAATGGTGTACCATTCACACCGCGAAACCCACGCGTAAACGCTTCAGTATGTAACACGCACGCCACTCAAACATACTATTGTAACCCTTGACTCTCGTAATCACCAACTTCAATAATCTCTATTTTTAGCACCAGTGTTGTAGCTTCCAACCACCGACAAGTGATCGCTTTTCCGTAGGTTCAAGATATCCGATAGACAAACACAACTGCCTCAAACGCAAACTTGGTTGAACGTTTATATGAATACCAACAGTAATGGAAAAACTAAACTAATCCAAGTAACTACATAAATCGTAATTACGACTTTGCTTTTTCTGCTAGAATACCGACTTGTACTTACAGTACTACATAATAAAATAATTAAAGCATAACAACAACACAGCCATTACCTGGAAAAAAATCCGCAGTTTAATCAACGAATCGTAATTGGAGTTGTAAGACTCTTTAAACAGTCTACACTTACCACTGGTGGTTTTACAAAGATACGCTTCAACACAGCTCTGTATAAGATGACAGATATAGATACATTTAACAATATCCGGGATATCTATCATTTGAGATACACCAATCGTATTTAAAGTTTTATTTGATATTAATTCCTTAAGATGTATATTTAGATCGGTAAGTAAAATGTTGTAGAAGTTCTCTACATTAATTAAAATTCCATCTAGAGATATTTGCCTTTTGTATGTTGATGAGGATGATGGCGATGAGAAGATTTTTTCAATGTTGGTTAGTGATAATAATAATAGGAATGATGACATCAGTATAATCGATTTATTCATTTTGATGTTTTGGACTATAATTAATAAGTTATTTATCGAGATTTAATCACACTAAATCATTTAATTAATTAATAATTAATGAATTAATCATTTAGTTCATTAAATTAAACTTATTCTTAGGGAACAGTTTCAAGATTAATGTCCATAGAAGACGACCATTAGAGGTTATTCATCAAATCAAACAAACAGCATCGTCAATATTATTACCAATCATTCAATTTTTCATATTTTTTTAAAAATCAATTGTCTATGTTAAATAAATTTTAATGAATTAATTCAATTCTAATTCACAATTAGCAAGAAAAACCAATACAGAGTCCGACGAATGAACGCACCAAAATGTCATTTATGAAAAATTTTACAAGCACTATAAAGAAAGCATTTTAAAATTTCTTGCAATATTTTATCAAAGGATTGTTTTATTGGTTGCTAGGCGTTAGTTCTTCCATTCGAAGTAAATAAAGTGTAATTTGATATGTGTATGCGTGTGTGTATGCGTATGTGTGTGTGTTTGCGAACATACACGTATGCAAATACATTCATGTATGCGTGTACAGATTTTATGCACAAAAATTGCGAACACGCGACGAAATACATAAGAGGAACATTTTAATTTGTAGCTTCATAATTTAATGTTTAACCCTAGAATTTCATAACCAATTTTACGCTAAATATGGTAAGGTTTCCACAATTCGGAATGACCATGGACGTCATTGTCGGGTTCAAATGCATAATGAATCAGGATTGGCACATACGCATATACCCAGCCAGACACACATATACACAGTCTCGTGACAGACTGTTAATTCCAGTATTTCAATGTTTCGTCTCGTACTCCACCAATTAGTGATTTAAACAGCACAATTGAGAATTTAACGTCAGTTAACTCTGACGACCTAACTGAACTCCAGCCAGCCAATCAGCAACAGCAGGAGCAACAAACCACCTATATACCGCCTATTGTAAAATGTAACTTTTTGTGCCATCTAGCGAACGAATGCGTCAGATTCAGATCCGGAAAGCCCGGATCGGACAAAACCGATAATTATTTGAAAGTTTCAATAATTGTGTAGCAAGACCAGAAGAGAAAAATGTTTTAATAAAAAACGGAATGTATTTTTTCCTATATATAAATTTCATTATATATGTCAGCGCGTTATAATATTTTTGATATTTCAGAATTTTAAAAATAAAAGATGTTCGTATATACAAAAATAAAATCTTTAAATGTCATCTCATTTCACTCAACTCTGCTTTTTCACATTACCTGCACATCAGCAACATCACTTTCTGAGTCATTTTTTCTTGGCTGCAGCGGGCTTCGCGATTTTACCAGTCGCCATTTTCTTTTTCAGAGTCTCTACCTTCTTTTTGTGGGAACCTGCTTTTTTATGGCTGGGCAGTTTTTTTGAAGTGACTGATTTTTTTTGGCTAGTTGACTTTTTCGAAGTAGCGGACCTTTTCTGTCCAGGTGATTTCTTTTGGGAGGTTGATTTTTTGTGGCTGGTAGATTTCTTCGCAGTCACTGACTTGTCCAGACTTGCCACTTTTTTCAGCGTGGTCGACTTTCTTTGACTGGCTGACTTTTTTTGACTTTTTTGGCTAGCGGATTTTTTTGATGCGGTGATTTTATTCTTCTGGCCTGACCTGGCGGAAGCTGCTGTCAAACTGCGTTTCCTCTTCTTGGCGCCAGCAACTGGCTGCTGACTACTGCAACATGGTTTTGCTGATTCGCTTTTGGTTCGGTTTTGTTCTTCGTTCATCTGTTTGCTTTTGTTCACCCAGTTCCTTCTCTCCTCTTCTGACAGTCTGGTTATCGCCGATATGAATTGTTTTTCATAAATTGATTTTAAGGGAATGTTTTTTGTATTGTGATGTTATTTATTTATAAATTTTTTTATAATTCAAGCGTCCTTCTAAACTTTTTTTTCAATTATTCATTATTTATCAATCGATCAACTCAAACAATCAGTTAACAAATCAACCTTTCAGATATTAATCAATCAGCCAATCAACCAATTAGCCAACCAAATGACCAACCAACCAGCCAATCAACCAATTAGCCAACCAACTGGCCAACCAACTGGCCAACCAACCAGTCAGCCAGCCAACTAACCAACCAACCAACCAACCAGCCAACCAGCCAACCAACCAACCAACCAACCAACTGGCCAACTAACTTATTCCAGCCACGAGCCCCTTCACGGAACAGAGACTTCTGGCTCCTGTTCTTGTCCTTGTTGGCGTTGACGTACGTCTGGATGAAGACCTGGTAGCCTGTCAGAGGACGCTTTGGTTTCCTCATCTCGTAATCTGCCATCAGCTGACTGGAAATTATGTGACGATGATGACTGGATGGGATGGGATGCTGATGATGACGACGGAATGATGATGATGGGATGATGTAGATGATGATGTAGATGATGATGATGGAATGATGATGGAATGATGATGATGGGATGATGGAATGATGATGATGGGATGATGGAATGATGATTATGATGGGATGGTGATGACGATGAAGACGGGGGCCCAATTCTAAATTTTTTTATCTCTGGCGGCACGGTTGTAGCACTCCTCGCGCAGATGGTCCGAGGCAGTTCTTCCACTAAGGTGACGAAGAAGGCGAAGATGAGGGAAATGATTATAATGATGATGGTGAGGATGATTATGATAGTAGGGATGGTAGTGGTCTTGATAACGATGTTGATGGAGACGATGATGATGATGATGTTAATTGACATAGTAATAATACAAATTTTTATTATCAAACCGATCAAGAACCGTAATTAACCGACCCATAACAGTAACTAGCCAAAAAAAACATATTTAATAAACAAAAATCCTAATTTTCCGACAAAGAACCGTTTTTCACCGACCAAAAACCGATATTAATCGGCCAAGAACCGTATTTAACTGACCTGTTCGGCTAGATCCGGCATCTTTACCATCAAGCTTCCAGTCGTACCCTTGGTTCGCATCTTGGCGAACTGCAGAAACGCGTTGCAAAACCGCTTTGGACGCTCGATGTTGAGCGCTTTCTCTCGCTCGAGACGTCGCCTTTTTTTCTGCGCGTTCTTCGTTCTTGTGGTGGTCGGGTCCATTTTTTAAGTTTTCTGGTCTGGTTGAGCGTTGAGGAAATGATTTAGTATATAAATTTGAATTCTCTGTGTGTCATCTTGCTTAAGTCGTGTAAAAGTTGCTATTAATATCATAGAAAATTTGATTTTTGTGGGTGGATACTTTTCAAATTTGTAATTTTTAAGATGAAGCAATGCCAAAAAACATTATGAAAACTCCTTATAAAACGCATTTAATGTGATAAATATTATGCAAATTACATTAAAACACCTCATTTATATGGGAATGTCAACAGATTGTAGGTTGGCTATGCTAAGAATATAGAATTCAAATCTTAAATGTGCCAAAATTATCGATTTTAACAATGGTAAAATCATTTTAAAATTAAATCTATTCAAGCCAAATGCAATTTTTCTGAAAAGTATGTTTAAAAATATAAAAATTCGACTTAAAAACCTTAGATTGATTAAGATCAACCAAACTCCTTTGACAAACGAACCAAAATATCAAATTAAGCTTACTAAAGTTCGAAAATTCAACGTTTCTACAACTTATTATTATTATTATTTAATTAATAAAATTAACGTATTTATAATAAAACATTAATAATTTCGCGAAAGAATTAATAACTCTAATAAATCTGAAATTAATAAATATCCAGAGCTATATTCATTGATTAATAGATTGATAGATACGTAAATAGTTTGGCTGTGTGGACTAGTGACGTTCGAAAATAAGGATGACGTCATCTGCCCAATTACGTTTTAAAACTTCGGTAAATAAACAAATGAAAATACTTTTTATTAATTTTTTAACATAGACACGTAAACTAAAAGCTTCGATTTTCTTTAATCTATTATTATAATAATAATAATTATTATTATTATGAATAGGAAAAATAATTATAAACTATTATTTTGTGAGAATAAGTTACGGCTTTTATTTTATAACTATACATATACCTAATAGCGTAATGGTGAAGACAACTGACTCTGCGTGGGATTCTGTGCCACAGTTGACCGTGTTTGAATGCAGGGTGATCCTCTCTCACCATATGTTTTGAGGTTATGTGAGGTTATATTCACATCTCTGCAAAACAGATTTTGATGAAAAAATGATGAGCTATTATTTGATCTCCAGTGCTAACGATATCAACATCATCATCATTACCACCATCATCATCATCATTATCATCCTCATCATCATCGTCATCATCGTCACCATTATCTTTATAAATAAAACAAGAATCGATTAAAACCGACTCATGCCATCAAAACAGAGACAGAGAAGGAAAAAATCAATTCAGAAAAATTCTTTATTATGGTAATTATACTACTACTACCACCACCACTACTACTACAGCTGCTTCTGCTGCTACTACAACTACTACTAATACTACCTCTGTTACTACAACAGCTACTACTGTCGCTACTGCTGCTGATGCTTTTACTACTACTACTACAAGTAGTACTGATGCTAATAATTTTAAGAGAAGATAGGACAAATGGAAATAATAAATCTAGATTTTTTCAGTGTTCTGTATGTATGTATGTATGTATGTATGTATGTATGTATGTATGTATGTATGTATGTATGTATGTATGTATGTATGTATGTATGTATGTATGTATGTATGTATGTATGTATGTATGTATGTATGTATGTATGTATGTATGTATGTATGTATGTATGTATGTATGTATGTATGTATGTATGTATGTATGTATGTATGTATGTATGTATGTATGTATGTATGTATGTATGTATGTATGTATGTATGTATGTATGTATGTATGTATGTATGTATGTATGTATGTATGTATGTATGTATGTATGTTTATATTTATGGTAATATTATATAATTCTTTGATTCATTTCTTGACATATTTTTGTTTAATTAAACTTAAAATTTAGTTAAATAAAATACAGCATGTTTTCGATTATAAAAAGTGAAATTAATTGAAATAAAAACAAAATTTTTTAAAAATTTTCAAAAAGTTATTTCAAACTAAAATGTCGTTCGATCTCTTGGGCTTTATTCTGGTATCAATATTGTTGATAATTGGCTACGAAGTGAATTCAAGCAGTTCACTATCGCCACTACAACCGCAACCACAATCATCATCATCAGCAGCAGCAGCAGCAGTAGAAGCAGCATCATCGTTGTCATCGTCATTCAAAAAGAAATACTCTAGTGACGGCAACTTACTCAGTGTGTCACAAATCACCGTACACAAAGTCTTCAATCTTAATGACGTCATCCACGCTATGACGTCATCAAAGAGCCTAACAACAACAACAAGTTGCACTCCTAATATCGCTAAATGTGTTTACGTCTGCCAGCTAACGGCTGGTTGCGTCTTAGCAGCCATTGGAAAATTTGGCGTCAGCTGCTATTTATACAAAGATGACAGTCAGATTATTTATAATCCCTATCTGAGTTATTATTACTATCAGGTAACACTATGTTAATTTATTTTATATGTATTATAAATATATATATATATATATATATATATATATAAAGAGAGTGAGAGAGAGTGAGAGTGAGAGAGAGAGAATTTAAATATAATTATTAGTTTAGTGGTTTTAGTATAAATTGCTATACTAGTTGTTATAGAGTTGATGATGTAGTTTTATTGTATATGTACTGAATATATTATCTAAGTTAACCTTTCTCCCTTTCTTCATTTTCTCTCTCTCTTTTTCTCTCTCCCTTCTTTATATATAAACATAGTGTTAATTTGTACTATATGTAGTATTTTACTGTAAAGAGATGAGAGAACAATTTTTTTCTCTGCAGAAAGCCTAAACTAAGGCGAAGATGGATGAAGATGATGATGCGATGATAACGATGATGATAATGTAATAGTTATGGTGATTAAGATTTTTAAGTATTAACATTTAATACTATATTTTGTAGCAAAATAAAAGTAGTAGTAGTAGTTGTTGTTGTTGTTGTTGTGGTGGTAGTAGTAGTAATAGCAGCAATAGTAGTAGTAGTAGTTGTTGTAGTAGTAGTAGTAGTAGTAGTAGTAGCAGTAGTAGAAGTAGTATTTATTTTATTTGATATTTCTCAACAACAAAATACTCATACTTCAGTGCAATTATTATAAATTCGCGCGAAGCCATTGTCATCATCTGCTGTGCCATTTCAAATCAATTAATAAAAGAAAATTAAGAAATTTAATTTATGTACAGTTGAATTCGAACAACTTAACAAAGCATCTTTTATAATGATTTTTTTTAAGTTTATCTTGAAAAATTAAACCACAGAAAGTTTAACCAAGCTGTCGAATGGAGATTTTGTGCTGAAGAATTATGAAGCTAGGGCTGGTTTAAATATTAAAACTAAATGAATACTTTTTAGATTGTTACTAATTACATTCAATTGTTGACATCTGCTTGCGAAGTTTAGGATCTATATTGTTTTCATTTCAACATTAACTGAAATAATTTCCACCGTATAGTTGCACATTCAACACTTTGTATTTAAAAAAGTTGAAAAACTGTGCTTTTTTGATCTATTTCTTCAAACTTTTCGATTATACTTATACAACGGCGTTTGTTCATATTAAAAAAAGAACATCAAACTTTTGCCATTGCTTCAAGAGAAATTAATTCAATTACTAAACGAGTATTCCTACTAGAAGAATCATTAAAATTACTAATTTCTTTAATAATTACTCATTAATTACCAGCAACTATAGCAGATTTTTTCCCCAACAATCATCATTATTGTCATTATTACACAAAGATCTTAGCATGTTCCCAGACAATCATGAAAGCAAGCTTGGAGCGCTATTGTAGAACTCTTCTTTTAGCCCAAATAAACCAAAACAATTACGTAGAAAAAAAATTTTTCTATTACAGATAAAAACGTTAATATAATGCCATTGATGTTGCCATTGATGTTGGATTAGAGTTATTGTTTAGTGGTACAATAGAGCATTTCTTCTGCTGGCTCGGTTAGAAAATTTTTTCCGTTTTTCTAAATATTTTTGCAACGGCCTTGAAAGAAAGTATTTCTCATGAACAAAGCATGGTGAGTATGGTACATTTGTCGTTTTTGTTCTTGCTAGAGTCAATCATTTTGATTTCTTAAATTTGTTTCTGCTTTCTGTATTTGGAAAATCTTGCTAGACCTTAAAAGACATTTCGGTATCTTTTCAGTATTCAAATCAACTAAATTCAACCTAAAGTTTAGTTAGTAGTCATAAGTTTTATTAATGTTTGTGTTCAAGAAATTAATAAAAATTGCAAGCACGACAAACCTGAACAACTTGTACAAAGACTATTTGAATGATAGTGATAGAGCTTGATTTTTCTTGCATATGAAGCATTCGACCGAGCCACCATGTAATAATGAATAACGGTTTGCTGTATAAGCGAACTTATGAAGGGCTAAACTTCATAAAATTGAAACTTCTTCATAAATTAAATGCCATTTTGTATTCGAGAATTATACATTACAGAAACAAACTGGGTAATAATACGGACAAGACATACAAGATACATAAGAATACGCTGAAGAATCAAACTAAAATTAATCTCTATCTTTCCACCGTTACAAATTGCTCGCACATCAAAAATTACTTAATAACTTGATTAACACCAATAATTTGGCTAACTATCTACACTTTTTTTATCATTTTAGTTCAGTCACATTCAATCATTTTATTTAGATGTTTCAAGGTTCAGATAACAGATATATTTATATTATAAAATCTAAGTTATTTTAAATTTAAATTTAAATGTTTATTTGGATTAAAATAATGACACAAATGAATTGACATTGTAGTAACTAAATAAATTAAAACCATTTCCATTGTTAAAAAATATTTATATATTTTTAATATTCATAATTGTAGAGTAATAATAAATAGATCTTTGCTTGAATTGTTGGCCAAAAAATCTTAGTATAAATATGTGTGTGTATATGTGTGTGTGTGCGCGCGCGTGAGTGTGTGTGCGTGTGTACGTGTGTGTGTTTGAATGAACGCATAGCTACGCGATTTCATATCATAAGCCCACCCATGCCAATCACGCACATATTTCTTAGTATTGTAATCTAAAATAACCGTACCATAAATTTTTTAAAAAATGTTAATTTTACTGAATACTTCAACTGTAATGTTCCGACAGGACAACATACAGGTCTCCCCCCTTTACAATTCTTCACACAATGCTACGATCCTCAACATCCATGCCATGCTCTCGTGACGTGAGGCTAGGACATCCACCTTGAAAAATGAAAACCCCGCTGACGGACCCCACCAGTTAGGACCCCAACAACAGGTTTAAAGTCACTGCATGGAATGGCTGCCAAGAACATCGTAAAATGTGTTTACTGTAAACGTTTGTCAGCTAAGACCCTATTGTTTGAAAGCCTACACTGGGAATGTCATTTCTCCATACCAATGTAATCTCTACAGAAATGATTTCATCTTTTTTAAAGATAAGCTTACAATTTTTCGATACGATACGATTTTAAAAGCAGTTCGAAATCTATTTCAGAAAATGTGAACTGAACATGCTATGTTAGATTACAAGTAGATGGTTACACCTAGGGCTTTTTACGATTATGACGTCATTATATTGTTCATGTTTGATCATTCATTCATTCATTCATTCGTTCGGTCGGTCGTTCGTTCGTTCGTTCATTCATTAAATTCTGATTATTAATTAAAATTAAATTAAACTGCTTTCGCCTAATAGCTATATGATACACGACCGATAATTTGAAGTAGTGCCCTAGCTTGCGTTCGAACCAATCACTTGTACCTCGCAGAGAGCCAGCTGATTGTTTTTAACTTGCTCACTGTGCTGTATTATGATGTATCTTGCTGTTAGTGGTAGAGATGATGACGATGGTCCGTTGTTGTTGCTGTTAGTACAGTTTATTCTAAACCTGAAATTTTAATTGATCTTATTACCAAATTAATTGATTAATTAAATAATTAACTAACTAATTAACTAAATTGTTATATTCCAACATTTCTTAATTAGTTATCTAATGTTTCAACAACACGCACACACCCAGAGTATACTTGAATATGTAAATTTTCTGGGATTTCTTTGCATTCAAACCCGGGACGTTCATCATCAGTGCCAGACACCATAAACATTACACATTTTAGTTAATTAATGTAATTAGTTGACTAGTTAATTAATTGAATTAATTGAAACTTTGTTTGAAAAATGTGCTGATGACGGCGGCAACATTAATAACGATTATGATTATTTAAATGATTAAAACGTTGAGAAATGATGACGACGATGATGATTAGTGTTAGTATTGGCATGCGCCTTTTAAATAGTTATCTCAAAAGCGCTCGTTAGCACTGATTAGAACAATTCATGTCATAAAAACGTTTCATTGATCAAAAAATAAATCCTTAAGAGATTCTCGACAGAGTGATCAGGTTTGTCACAAGTCTATTCAATACTGGGCCAGCAATTGAAAAATTTCTTCAACCAATCTTTAAACGTGATGCTGAATGGTCCAACAAGTCTTCAACAACAGGGCGTAAGTTGGATGGTTGGTTGTACGATGATGATGAAGACGATGATAATGATCATTAAAATGATGGTGGTAATAATAATGATCAGAAAAACTAACCAAACACCACCAGTCGTCAGTTTTTCATCGAAATAGCCGCAGAGGCCGTACATGTTTCTAACTGGACGCTGAACTGACCAGGAGATGTTTGTCAGCCCAACGGTCAAGTTTGTGTAACGTTCGACTGTGTGTGTTTATGTGTGTGTTTGAATGTGTGTGTACGTGGGTGCATGTGTGAGGTGTGTGAGTCTGTGTGTGTGTGTGTGTGTGTGTGCGTGTTTGTAAAAACACCCACTTACTGTAATCAATTCTGGCAAAAACCCTGACGTACACAACCGTGAAAATCCCCAGAAGATCCACCATCCACCAGGCCGTAATTTTTGGAGGAGTCTCATTTGTGGTGTGGCTACACTGTCCTCCGGCTGCGTTTGAAGCCGCTACGCCATCGACAGCCAGCCACGAGTAGCCAGAAAAACTCAACGTCGTGACGTACATGGAGCTTTGGCAGGTTGGTTTCATTAGTGAGAGGTTGGTTTGGTTTACCGTGTCTGTTTGGTTGGATGTGTGTGTGTTTGTGTGTGTGCGCGCGTGCGTGTGTGTGTGTGCGCGCGTTTGATTGTGAAAGGAAAGTGTGAAAAAAATAATTCTTCATAATATAATTTTTAAAATCCTTTCTTCTTGCTCATTTTTCGTGTGGGGCTATTTATTTGTTGGAATACTGACAAAAGACTTTATAAGTTGTAAACTAGCTATTATACTGATGCCTAAAATAAAAAATAAAATAAAATAAAAATGAATAAAAATAATTAAAAAAATAAAACTAACTATTTGCCAAGCAATTGAAAAACGAGCCAAAAAGAACGAAAATGCACAAGACTTTTTCGCGTCTAATCAATAAATAATTTTTAAAAAATTTGACACATCAACACACACAGACACGCACACATGCACGCACACAGACACGTACATACGCACACACTTACACATAGATACACTTACACATACACACACACACACACACACACAACAATTAATCACTTGTGTTATTGTTGTCATTACTACGGATGTCCTGGATAGAAAAAAAAAATATCGAGGACCAGTTGTTAATTTGTTGTAAATATTTGAAAAGAAATAATTTAAATTATAACTGGATGAATGAATGGATGAATGTATGGATGAATGGATGGATAAATGAATGAATGAATGGATTTATGTATGTATGAAGTACATAACAACAACAACAATGGATGGATGGATGGATGGATGGATGGATGGATGGATGGATGGATGGATGGATGGATGGATGGATGGATGGATGGATGGATGGATGGATGGATGGATGGATGGATGGATAGATGATTTATAAAAGAATGAATGAATTAATAAATCGATAGATGAATGAGCAGACGATTTAGTAAAATACCAATTTGTAGTTTCACGATCGAAATTCGCATATTCGTATAAAATTTCGAAATAATAATAATAACAATAATAATTATAATTACTACCAATAACAATTATAATAATAACAACAACAATAATAACAATAATAGTTTTGTACAAACTTGGTAGCTAGTACAATTCAGTTGACTCGACAACTTGAAGGCGGGCTTGGTGAACAGTTCACACATCTGAACTTCTGACTTGTAGTTGAAGTTGGTGCAGGATGGCGCCATCTGGCAGACGAACGCGCATTTAATAATGGCGGGTACGCATCTGTGTGTGCGTGTGAATGTGTGTGTGAATATGCGTGTGTGTGTGAATATGCGTGTGTGTGTGTGAATATGCGTGTGTGTGTGTGAATATGCGTGTGTATGTGCGCGTGTATGTGAGTGTGTATGTGAGTCTGTGTGTGTGTATGTGTGTGTGAGTGTATGTGAGTGTGTGTGTGTGTTTGTGTGTGTGTGAGTAGATGTTTGTATGTATATGTTTGTCTTTGTTTGTTGATATGCCATAAAAATTGCAACAAACACAACATCAATAGCAACAACAACATAACAACAACAATAACAACAACAACATCTATAACAACAATCACAATAACCACATAACCAGCCATGAAATATAACAAAATGATTCTATATGATAGATAACGAAAGAGCACCAACCCCAGTATATCAACATTTCTAAAGCCCTCCAAACTTTGATTTACCCCAAAACCAGGTGTAGTAGAAGCCCCGCTGTAAATAGCACTCAATATAACCTCATTAACCTTGGAAGAGTTCATTTTGAGATCAGGGGTGGCCAAGTTGCAAACATCTTGGCCTACGCATTGTGGAGTTTTATTGAATGTTAGGCTGAAGCAATTGTCGAAACATTTTAGCAACGCTAGAAAGGATATTACAAATGATGTTACCAGTGAATGATTGTGATGTTGATGTCGTCGTCGTTGTTGTTGTTGATGTTGTTGTTGTTGATATTGTTGATGTTGTTGTTGTCGTTGATGTTGTTGTTGATGTTGTTGTTGTTGTTGATGATGATGACGACGACGACGATGATGACACCCCGGTGGCTGGTGTTGTTGCTTCGACATATTTTAAAATGTTTCGATTTAAATAATTGATTAACCAATCAAACGAGCAATAAAATAAATTTGTAAGAATTAGTTAATTAATTATTTTTGATTATTTTCACGATAAAAATTAAAAAATAGTTTTTTGCCCAGTCATTTCAAGCCAAGAAATGAAAAATACATCTACATTTATAAACGTTTTATATTGTTATTTATGTATGTATGTATATATGTATGTATGTATGTATGTATGTATGTATTATTATTATTATTATTATTATTATTACTACGGAAATTTATATACAGCGCTTTTTTATTGTTGAATCTCAAAAGCGCTACTAAATCATAGACAAATAAGACGGACATTCATTGTGCAAATAAATAAGTTTTAAGTTGACTTCGAAATTGTAAATATGATAGGTTAGGGTCACGTAAGTATGGAGGTAAACCATTCCAAACAATCGGGCCAAGAACCGCAAAGTTGCGGGAACCCGTCACCAACTTTGTGGTCGGGATAAAAAATAAATTGCGCTCGGTTGATCGGAAGGAATATTTTGAAAAATGAGATTTGTATGATTCCAATCTATCGATGAGGTAGGGAGGTGCTGTATTATTGACACATTTAAACATCAGAACTGCAAACTTGAAGGAAACACGTTTTTCAACCCTCAACCAGTGCAACCTATTCAAAATAGGCGTAACATGATCGAACCACGAACCACCCAAAACCAGCTTGGCCGCACGATTCTGTATTGACTGAAGCCTTGAAAAAGACCTTTTGGTGACACCATAAAAAAGGCCATTGCAGTAGTCTAGTCTGGAAAAGACGAAAGAGGAAACCAAGCTTTGAAGAACAGACGTGTTTAATGATTTTTTGACATTGCGTAATAAACGGAGTTGGTTGGAGCAGACCCTCACTAAATTATTAATACGCAAATCCATCTTTAGGTTTGAGTCAATAATAACTCCAAGACTACGGACGGATGTGGAAAATTCAATGATGTCATTGCCGACACTGATCGATGAAATGTTGACCTTCGACAGCTGCTGCCAAGAACCAAGCGGTAATATTTGTGTTTTAGATTGATTTAACTTTAACTGATTCATACTCATCCAAGATCCAATTTCGATGAGACAATCAGTCAGTTCATTCAGAGAAACATCAATCGAATCAACGGGACAAGAAACCAATAACTGAATATCATCAGCAAAGGCGTGGGAGCTGAACTCATATTTTTGAATGATATCAAAAACATCAGCAGTGTACATAAGAAACAACAGAGGTCCCAACACAGATCCCGGGGGACACCAATCGATAGTTTGTTTATGTCAGAGAGGGTGTTGTTGTAAGAAACCTGCTGGGTGCGGCCTAAAAGATAGGAAGCGAACCACGATAAGACTGAATCAGAGAGAAAAAAAATTGTGGAGAGTTTATACATGAGACGAGTATGATCGACACAATCAAATGCAGCACTCATATCAAGTAATGCTAAAAAAGAAACGCAATGTATGTATGTATGTATGTATGTATGTATGTATGTATGTATGTATGTATGTATGTATGTATGTATGTATGTATGTATGTATGTATGTATGTATGTATGTATGTATGTATGTATGTATGTATGTTTTTATTTACGTAATCCAATATTTATAGAAACCAAGGTAAACATTTTCATTATTTTATTTATTAATTGTTCTTTGCTTCATTATTGTTATTTAAAAATTTATCTAGAGAATGAGAGAGAGAAAGAGAAAGAGAGAAAAAGAGGGAAAGAGAGACCAAAAGCAAAACAAAATAAAAAAAACAAAAAAAAAACAAAGAGAATGAGAGAGAAAAGTTGAAAAAGACAAGCGAAAAAATGAAAAAATAGTGTGTAATTTTCTCTCTGCTTTCATGCGTTTGTTTGTATGTTTGTTTGTTTGTGTGTTTGTGTGAAGGTGTGTATTTGTGTGAAGGTGTGTGTATTTGTTGGTTTATGTGCGTGAGTGTGTGTGCATGTGTGGCTGAAATTACACCAACTGAAACATGATAGAGGCGCATTTTAAAGAAGAGTCGATAAAAACGGACTGATGAATGTGGGAACTCCGCTGTTTAAGTTCATTTTATACTGCCTAAAAGTTACTAAATAGAAATGTTTTCAAATTTTTCATTCATCAAACTATGAACAAAAAAACTGTTAACAAACGGAAAAAAAGCTAACAAAAAACGAAC